GTCGTCTTATACGCCGGCAAATACGGTAAATAATGGCTAGGATGCTGAGAATGAAGCACTCGATCCCCGTGGAAAAAGGATCCTTCCTGGGGCATCGGGGGGCTTCCTTGTCTGCTGCTTTCTGGGCTCTTCCTCCATTTCTTGAATTTCTCTCTTCCCTCGTAGGAGACGGACTGGAAGGTGCTGAAACAGGTCCTGAACAAGCTGCCCAAATCCCTGCAGTACAAAGTCCTGTACTTAACCTCTCCTTGTAGCATCGATCAGTTATCTTCTGCCCTGTGCTCCATGGTAAAGGCGTGCTGGGCCTCTGGGAACTGGGGCTTGGCTGTTTGGGCCCAGCTTCTCCCTGCCCTTCCCCGACTCGGTTTCATGATACGACTGCAGCGTTTGATAGGGAGCCAGTGTGGAATTGAGGGAGGGGTGGGTAAAGCATGTTTCATAGGCTGCGGGCCTGAATCTCTCTGGGTGAGTCCAGCACAGGCAAAAACTACATTTTAAATTCCATGCAGTTGACTTGGATCCATGTATTTGTTTTCCCTTCCTCCTCTATGAAAAGTGCAGTTCATTTTTCATCCAGCAGGGGCTTTGAGGAGTTCCTCCCCCCCCCCCCCCCCCGCGGCCCCCCCCCCCCCCCCCCCCCCCCAATCCATGGTTTCCCTTGTGTAACGTTGTTTTTGGAAAGCACAAGCCGGCGTCTCTTTCGCCCCAGCTCACCGATAAGAAGATGACGGAGCGGCTGAGGGATGCCTCGGAAGGCCTGTCCCGGAACGACTTGCACCAGGCAGTGGTTCCGGTCTTGACTGCTTTGATCTCCTATCACAGTTACCTGGACAAGTCGAAGCAGGTATTGCAGGAGGGGCGTTACATACCGCTGGCTGCTGCCTTTTGCCATTTCACTCCCAGTGGCTCTCGGTGGCTTTGTGGTGTTCGCATAGTATTCGTGTTAGCGTCAGCAAAGCTCAGCCTAGGCAGCGAGAGCTAATCAGTCCAGGGTTCCACCCTTCAGGCTAGCGTGGCCTTAATCGTCTGCAGGCGCCTTTCTGAAGCACCCTCCCAATGCAGCGAGGGGCGGTTGGGGTGCTGATCCCCGGGAGGGGCTGGGATCCCCGTATAGCATTCCCTGATGGAAGGGAGCCTAGCCAGCACCTTTCACTGGATTAGCAGGTTCAGCTTGGAGAAGGCAGATGGGGAGACCTCCAGCCCTTGAGTCGTGTCAAGTTTTAACCAAGTGCTGATCTACACCCTGAACTCCTTGGCAATCGTTACAACGCTCAGCGCTGTGGGCCTTCTGTGGGCAGCTGCATCGGGGGGTTGGTGGGCAGGGCAGCTGCCGTTTCCCCACGGCCGCCTTAGAGCAGCCCTGCGTGCAATGCGATCCCAGGGACAAGGGCGAGAATTGCAGGCAGTCCTCAACTTACAAGCATGCGCTCAGTAGTAGCCATTCAGAGTTGCAATGGTTGCACTGAAAAAGTGGCCCGAGCCTTTCTCACACTGATGGTGGTCTCAAAGAGCTGAGGACGGGGGCGATTTCTTTCAAGAGGAGGAGCACCGCCACTCACCAAAATGTTTACTACCCCCACCCCCACACCCCGTGGGCTTTGACTGACCAGATAAGGCAGTGACCTAATTCACAAGCGGTGGAGCTCATCCCCCGGGCGACTCAGTCTGCTTCCTCAAGATCCCCAGGTTGAAGCTCCTCCCTGGTCCCCAAGACATGAGCTTGTCATTTCTGATGGATTTGCCTGCTTGGCCTCCAAGTTAATGTGACTGATTTTGTCCCCCAAAGGTTTAGCGTAGAGAATATTTAATCTGAGGAACCTTGAAATCTGGCTTTTTAAAAATTCTCTTTTGGATGCTAAAACCCATCACGGTCCACTCTGTCATCCTCACTGTCTATAATCAGTACAAACAGAATGTCTTCCAGCCCACGTTGTATCTGTCCTGTATAACCACATTCTTCTCTCCACGCAGCGAGAGATGGTTTACTGCCTGGAACATGGGCTGATCTTCCGCTGTGCCAGCCAGTGCGTGGTGACATTGTCGATCTGCAGCGTTGAGATGCCGGATATTATCATCAAGGCTTTGCCAATCCTGATAGTTAAGTTGACGCATATCTCAGCCACAGCCAACATGGCCATCCCTCTCTTGGAATTCCTTTCAAGTAAGCCTCTTTGGAAGGAGTAGCAACAAGCGACGCGCCTCTTAGAAACTCCCAAGAGCTTTGACTAGTTGCCCTGTCTCTGAAATACTTGCCCTGACTCGTGCAAGTTTCTGGCGCTCTGGTGGTGAGAAGGCAGGGGGGATTGGAGGAAAACAGGTGCAGGAAAGCTCAAACCATTTTAGTTTCTGGAAATCGTCAAGTTGGTCTTTACATCCGGGGTTATATTTTCAGTCTCAGCAAGGGATAGAACGCCCAAATTCAGACCTAGCTGGTGAGAGACTCCCGAAAGATGCATCTAGCAAGAAGGCATTAGCGTGCCACTTCCCTTCCCTGGCCAAGAAGGCGACGTGGGAGTCCAGCTGACCTATCCTTGCACGAGACCAGAACTGGACCAAGCATGGTGGGCAGGCTGCATTACCTGGCCCAGCCTTGTGTTTGTAGACTGCTGTTTATGATTTAGGGTGGTACAGAATCCCGGCCCATTGCAACGGATTCAGAAGCTTCCATCTGTGTGAATTTTGCAAAGCCAGGCAATGTGAACCCCCTTCTATGTGCATGGAGCAGGGTGTGGCCGTCTCACCTGACCACCTTATTTTCTTCTCCCTTCCAGCACTGGCCCGCCTGCCTCATCTCTACAGGAATTTTGCAGCAGAGCAGTACGCCAGTGTATTTGCTATCTCTCTGCCCTACACAAACCCCTCCAAGTAAGCTGCTTCGTATTAACTCGTAACCAAGGGGGATCCTTGGTTTTCTGTTGATGGTTGTTTTGAGAAGGTCTTTCCACCACAAAGGTCAGGTTTAGATGGCCCAGTCCCGTTGTCCCAAGCGTGCCACAGCTGCTTTGTCCTCCCTCATCTTCTCTCATCTCTGAAAGATGAGAGAGGCAGAAGGGGATAGCAGTAGCAATAGCACTTTAAAACTTACGTGCCACTTCCCGGGGCTTTTATAGCCCTCTCTAAGCAGTTTACAGAGGCAGCATTTTGTCCCCAACAATCTGGGTCCTCATTTTACCCACCTTGGGAGGTGGGAAGGCTGAGTCAACTTTGAGCCTGGTGGGATTGGAACTGCCAAATTACAGGCAGCTGGCAGTCAGCAGAAGTAGCCCTGCAATACTGCACTCTAACCACTGTGCCACCGCGGCTCTCATGGTGAAGAGGCTGCTTGATGAATGTGTCAGCTGTGGTGCCTTTTCTTCCCAGGCAAATTTCCTGCGTATTGGCATGACCTTCACAATATTGACTTTGTAGTGCTTCCATTGTATAATAGATCACTCAGGTTGGCCTGGCTGCTTTGCCCCATGCTGTTGTTGTTAATTTGATTGACTGTGTCTTTTTTGATTTATAAATTGATTGATTGTCTGCCCATAAGAGCCCATAGGCCCAGGCCCTCGGGAGGGCTCCTAAACATCCCTTCTTAACTGTTTGTAGGTTTAACCAGTATATTGTATGCCTGGCGCATCATGTCATAGCCATGTGGTTTATCAAATGTCGCCTCCCCTTTCGGAAGGACTTCGTTCCCTTTATCACTAAGGTGAGTGTCTTCCCTCATTAAGGAAGGCCAAGGAAAAACCCGGCTTCTGCAGCCGCTTCTCAACCCTGGCAGGTCTCAGAAGTGGGTCTTCCAGCCCGCAGGCGCTGCCACTCACTCCTGTGGCCTTTGTTGTGGGGGCTGTTCTCACTTACCTCCCAGTTAGTGAGGCTGGGAAGATTTTGCTCGAAGTGACTTTGTGGCTTTATACGGCCTTTTCCCAGCCAGGTGGAGGACAGAGGGATTGGCCTTGAGGGTGAGGAGGGAGAGTTGCTACAGGGCAAGGGAGCCCCTCCCTCCTTCTCCTGCAGAGGGAGGGGGAAGCACAGTGCAATTTGCAAGAGATGTTTCCTCTGGCTGTTACCATAGAAATAGCCCTTGGTACATGGCCGTGGTGCCCGCATCTGGTCTGCCTTGTGGGGCTGACGCCAGGTGCCTCCTGGGGGGGGGGGTGTCAGCTGGGGTGTTGTGCCGAGGCCCATCTGGGGCAGAGAACCTCTTGGATCCTCTCTGGCACACTCCCCCACCCCCTCTCCTCTTTTGGACAGGGCTTGCGGTCGAACATCCTCCTCTCCTTCGATGACACCCCAGAAAAAGACAGTTTCCGGGCTCGGAGTACCAGTCTGAACGAGAGGCCCAAGAAGTAAGTTGGCCCTGAGGGCAGGAAAGGCTCTTCTCTTGCTTTGGCAGCCGTTTGAAGCGGTCTTGGCAAGAATAGCTTCCCTCAGCCTTTGCCCACTCGCTCTGGCTGGCTGGTGGCTGCAACGTATCTGGAGAAGAGAGAAGGAACGCAGAGCCTTCGCCTTCCTTCTTGGTGAAGAGGTCGGACTCACCCTCTTGGGGTGCCTGTCCTCTTATCCCCACGTCTTGAGGTGGCTGAAGTGCTCTAGGGGGGCCTCAGTTCTTCTCCCAGTACTGTCAACCATCGGAATGGGATGCCAAGCGGAGGCCGGAGTGTAGACTTCCTGACTCAGGTTAAATCACAAACATTGAAATGTCTCAAATCGATCTTTCTCATGGGCACCTTTCCCGCTTTTTTGCCATGGCTCTGTCACCACTAACTTGACCGAATATTTTATTCTCATCAAGTTAAAATATTGCTGATTTGTCAGTTCAGGTCAGAATTGGGGTAGAGTCTCCACAAACTCTTTCCAAAAACTCTTGGAATCTGTTCCTCTCCAAAGGAGAGATCCTCTTGATTTAGAGATTAATGGTTCTTATGACTTGCTTCTAAACAGAACATTCGCCAGAAATCCCCAAACTATGAATAAATTGTAGTCAGATTTGGTATGTTTTCACAGAAGCAGCTCAGGTACAAGAATGTGTTTGTCTGCCTGGTAAGAAATGCATATTCTCCCAGCTCCTGATGCCTTTCTCTGGTGGTGTCCTGATTCGAGTCTAGACTAGAGTGATCCTTCCCACTGAGAAAAACCTGCTTGCTTTGAAATGAAATAATTTTGTTTGGCAGTAGGAAAAAGGCAGTAATTCTTAGCCCCCGTCTTGGGCTTGTCCTGGTTCAGCCCTGGAGTCGCTTCCTTAGGAGCCTTGTGGCTTTGTGGGTCACTTGGGGCAGTGTTGTGAAAGGCACCTTGGAGGTCTCTGGGCCTGTCTCTGCCCACTCAGCTGCTCCCTTGTCCGATGCACCTTCACATTCCAGCTGCCACTTTCAATCCTCCTTTGTGTTAAGTTGCGCTAATTTCATCTGGTTGTGCGTGATTGGTTTGTGTTCTGTTTTATTTTGGGTTGGGGTAACACTGAGCATTCTGGAGCAAAACAGGGGTTTGTTGTGTTTAAAATGTTCATGCTGTTAAGTTTTTCTTGTTTTTTAATTCCCTTCCCTCCTTTTTTTTTGGCCTTTTGTCTTCTGTTTTTTTCTTCTTCTTTTCTTTTCTTTTCTTTTCTTTTCTTTTCTTTTCTTTTCTTTTCTTTTCTTTTCTTTTTTTTCTTTTCTCCACCGTCTTCTGGGGCGTTTGTGGCCTTTCACATCCCATCCTTCCAATGATTTCTTTCCTGTGCAATCACGCCTCTCTGGTTCCGATGCTGCTTTGCCCTTAGTAGCTTTAAAGTAGCCAAAAATGCCAGGCCAAACTTGAACCAGTCTCCTCCCGTGAGAGCCCTGAAGGATCCCTCGGCCGTTGATGCCTTCCGCTCCCGCAGCATCAGTGTGTCTGACCATGCAGCCCACAGGTAGTGATGCTTGGACAAGAGGAGGAGGAGGAGGAGGGTGGAGAGCAAGGGGGGGGGGGTGCCTCTTGACTGTGCTGATGCGGCTGGGACGGTGCATGTTGGGACTCCCGCTTGGCTTCCTGACGCCCACCCTCACAGTAGCTTTGCAAGCATGTTGATGCATGTTTCAGGATAACGGTCTGAGTTCGGTTTGGCTTGGCTTGGTTTGGTTTGAAGAGATCGTGCTGTTGCTTGGCCCAGATATTCCCCCCTCCCCCCGGCCATTTCTTAGGGTATGACAGGTTGTGGTTGCTTCTGGCTTAAATCTTTCAAATGGTGGTTATTCCACGGCCGAAATGAAAGCATCCTGTTTGCTGGCCCTGCGCTTCATAATATCAGTGTTCAAACCTGTGCAGACACCACAGGATGGAGTGGAAATGGGGATGTGGAACTTGAGATCTATCTCTGGAGAATGAACGGTTCAGGCTTTCCATCTCATCGCCTGTTTGGTTGGAGCAGTTCAGAAGAAGGAAGGCATCCAGAATGCATCTCTTTCATATCCAAGGCAAACGTAACATTCTCTGCAAGAAAAACCCACTCAGGAATTCAGGCGTGTATTCCCTGCTGCCTTCCCCCAGCCCCGTCAGAGCTAACCTGGATTCCCTTCAGCCAACGTTTGACCCTAGTTTGGAAGGTAACCATAACTGGGGCTGCTTTACTGTGTCACTAGCCAGCTGTGAGGAAGAGAAAGAAAGGAGGGGATTTGCGAGTCTCGTCTTAGGCATCAGAGCTGGCTTCTCGGTGATGCCTGGCAGGGGTGCCCTTCAACAGCTGTACTGAGGATCTGGGCGGGGAAGGGGCAGCTGCTGCAAAGAGGAATCCCAGCTGCTGGTGAACTGGAACAGGATCATCAGTTAGGGTACCCTAAATTCCAACAGCTTTGGGAACATTTGGGGCAGCCTTTGCTTTCTCTGCTTTAGCAGCCGAGTAATTGCAGAGGGAGGAGCCCATCACAGAGACGACCTTGTCTGGAGACTCACATGCTTTCTTCCAGTTAACTGGAAAAGAAAACCAAACAGACAGAAGAACTGGGGAGCGGAGGGGTTTTCCTGCAGACCACAACAACAGTCAGGTGTAGGTTAAAGAGCAGCCAAAGGAGAGCCATAAGAGCCAACACAAAATCAGGCAACGGGACTCAGATATGAAAGCTGGTGTGCCTTGGAGCAAAATTCTGCACCTTCAGAACTTGTTTGTGAAATAATTCTGTTTGAGGAGGGGATGCGGTGGGGGCTTCTGCAGGGAGGGTAAAACAAGCAAGATGGCCACCAAAACTGCTTTGGATGGCGCACTGCCCTGTGGCAGCCACCATTTTTTCCATTTGGGGCAAATCCTGCGGTGTTGGGTGCGCTGTCCATTTTGAGCCGGGTCCGACACTCGGGCTTTCACCAGCAGGTTGTGGCTCTGTTCCCAGAAGGAGCGGAAGAGGCCAAGCGGGGGACAGGATTGGCACATTGGTTTCGATTTAAATGGAACAGGATTAGGACAGTTGCCGTGTCCCCGGGGTGTGTGTGTGTGTGTGTGTGTGTGTGTGTGTGATGTGATCCCCTTTTGCAGCCTTCTGACAAGCCAAGTCAATGGGGAAGCCAGATTCCCTCAGTCACCATGTTGCTCACTTAAGAACCACAGCGATTCACTTAACAACCCTGCAAGAAAGGGGGCAAAATGAGGTGAGACCCACTTAACAGCTGCCTCACTTAGCGCTCAGATTTAGGGCTCAGTTGTGTTCTTAAGTCAAAGACTATTGACTATTAAGCTAACGTGTTTTAATCAATGCTTAACATTAAATACTTAATACTGGTATTAAATACAAGGTTTCCCCCAAATATCAGACTCGGTGGACTTGAACATCTCAGCCAGGGGAGCCACCTGGGGGCCTTGCAGGGCTCTTGTTATGGGGCTAGAACCAGGGGAGAGAAAGCAATTTGCAGCCCCCTGGGTTGTCTGGAAGGGGGAGAGAAACATTACTGATTTCCTGCTCCCACATTTGATTCAATGGGAATCTTTCTGTTTGCATTTTTCTGAGGTAGTTCAGTTTGATTCCTTTAGTTTTTTTCTTTTACAAAGTAAATTCATTTTTGTACATAATTACCTGGTTTAATCCTGAATCAGCCACTAGACCCCTTGCTGTTCGGTCAGAGACAAGCACGAGTCCTGGAAATGACCGGCAGTCAGTTCTTGCCAGGTACTCTCCGATGCCACCTGGCCCTTCTCTGCTTCCGGGAATAGATGAAATAGCCCCCCATTTCCTCCTTTCCTTGCATTTGCTTCCTGGCCCTTGAGGCTTCAGGGCTCCCCAAGCCAGCGTGAGGCCTGTCAGTTAAAACTGTCCCAGAATCGGATATATCTGCCCACAACTCAGCCTGCTGCATGCTTAATGGAATTCGGGGACCTTTATCCCTTGGGAGAGTTGTTCTTCCAAATTATCACCTTCTCCCTGCCCCCCTTTTCTAGCCGGATTCAAACCTCCATTACCAGCTCCAGCCTGGGCTCTGCCGATGAGAACTCCATGGCTCAGGCCGATGACAACCTGAAGACTCTCCACTTGGAGCTCACCGAGACCTGCCTCGACATGATGGCCCGATATGTCTTTTCCAACTTCACAGCTGTGCCCAAAAGGTTGGAGTAGCTGCTCTCCGCTGGTGTTTGCAGGGACTTCTTCCCAGGGGGATAAGTCCAACACCTGCAGCATTAAGGGCTGGAATTGGTGCAAACTCTAATCTCTGCCTGTCTGAGTATCAGCACCTCAAATCAAGAATGGTGCTTGAAGAGATTGCTTGCTCAGGGGGGATGGAAAATCAGTTGAGAATTATGGCTCTTTGATTCACCTACTGTGTATTTTCCTTCCGGAGGTGGGAATGGGATTTGGAAGGTTTCTTTGGGAAACTTTAAATGAATGTTGAGATCTCCCTATTCAGAGGGACTTCGATAGCATCTTTATCCTTGTTTTCTGCGGGCTTTTAGGTCTCCGGTGGGAGAGTTCCTCTTGGCTGGAGGGAGGACCAAGACATGGCTAGTGGGTAACAAGCTTGTTACAATCACTACAAGTGTTGGGACAGGAACCAGGTCCCTCCTGGGCCTTGACCACGGAGAGCGCCATAATGGTGCAGAATCCAGGTAAGCCTCCTACAGCTCTTAAAGTAAGAGGGTCAGAAAAATTAATGACAATGTTATAACCGCAAGGGAAGGGGGAGTTTTTGTCCAGATTTTAAACATTGACATTGTTTAGATCAGTATGATGCGTGAACTTCAGCTCCCAGAATTCTCCAGCCAGCACATATAAACTTGCCAAGGTTGAGAGAGGCTGGTTTGCAGTGGTAAAAGCAGAGCCTCAATCTGAAGGCAGAGACGGAGCGTGGAAAAACGATCTGGTTCTGCAGGATTAAAAGTCGTCCGTCTTGGCAGCTAGTCCTCTGGGAGGTTCTGCCACCATTACGGGTTCCTTCACTGTAGCACAACAGAAAATGGTGCTGTAAACAAATTTGCCAATTATAATATCTATATGCTTAAAACATTGCATTACATCAGAAGCAAACAAATGTTCTTGACATTGATGCCACTGCCCAACAAATATTCTATCGGATGTGGGCATTGGAAGCATGTTCTCTGCAGAACTCCCAAGTCCATCTTGCCTTACTTTTCCTGTTCTGACGGGCAGCTGTTAGTTGATCACTAGACTGACTTTCCAAGGCATGAACTGGGAATGCCCCCCTCATTCCCTCCCAACCATTAAAACAACATGAATATACCGCTAGTACATACGCGCATCATCAAGCTGGCATCAAAGTTAAACTTCCACATGCATCCAGCATTAAGTCCTCTCGCCAGTCTCGCCCTGCTCTGGTGCCCGGGGAAAAACCAGGCCTTAAGTGCTTTGGGGAGAAGGGAGGCCTGCTGGACTTCAGGAAGGGGGTTCCCGCTTCCTCAATCCCATAGGATGGCAGTGTCGAAGGGAAAGGACTAGGAGTGGGGCCACCTCATCTGGTCTGGAAGGACGGGCAGATGTCCTTGGGGAGAAGCTGCCTGGCAGGCAGCCTGGCCTGGAGGGCTTTTAAAGGTAATTACAGGCACTTTGATTTGCACCCAGAAGGAAACTCGGTGAAGGTGTGAGATGGGCTCCCATTTCGCCTGCACCCCCGGATTCTAGAACACGGGTAGTGTCTGGGTGGTCTTCAAGGGCAGCTCCATGTAGAATGCCTTGCAGCTATCCAACCAAGGTGTCCCGGTCCAGGAAGAAGCACAATTGGTGCCCCAGGTGAGCCTGTGCAAAGCCATGGCTACCACCTGCTCTCGGGAGGACCCCAAGTTGCACACCAGCTGGAGCCTGTGGGCCAAAATTGGGGAGTCTTGCCAGGGTTGAGTCGAAGCCTGTCTATAAATCCTGAGCTGCAGGTTAAGGTTCAGGCCAAAAAGAGTCTCCTGTTTCCTAATGAATTGACAGGAAGATTGTTTCTGATTCCCAGTTCAGATCACAGCTTGCAAGTGAGGCAGTCAAAGGAGGCGCCGGCAAAACTCGAATCTCAGGCTGGCCCACAGGTGGTTCGAACCCGCAGCCGAGTCAGGTCCATGTCAGGTAAGGAGCCTCCCAACACAAACATGAATTTAGGGGCAGGAAAATGTACTTGGCATGGCGGCGGTTAATCCTGTAAAAGAATAAGCTTGCTGTTTGTGGGCTCTGCTGAGCTGGGAGCCTTTGTCCATCGAAGGAGTAAAATAACTAAAACGGAAAATGTTGCGGTTGGATCCCGATCTCCCCGTCGTCCTATCGGCAGTAATGCCAGGTGCGTGGTCAGGCTCTGGTTTCTGATTCTTGTGGCTGAGCATTCGGTGATTCCAGGAAGGAAGAGGGGCAAGGAAGCTCCCAGCGCCCAAATGCTGGCGGCCTCCGCAGGGCCAGTGGCATGAAATGACTCGGCCTCTTGCTTGGGAACGAAAAGTGGAAGTGTGATGGCAGCCACCAGGGCTTTTGACTACAATTCCCATTAAAACCCAGTCAAGGGAGCTAGTGACTGACTGATGGGAGTTGTAGCCCAGAATGTCCGAAGGGAACCAGGTGGCCAATCCCTGCTTTAAATGGGAGGAATGCGTCCATCGGCTGGATCTCTCAACATCTTCGCTCTCCTTCAACCCTTTTTCAGTTGGAGCGGCCTGAGCCCAACTTCAGAGCCTATTGCCAAGTCTGCCTTAAGCAGGGCGCAGGGAGACGGCTGGTCTTCCATTGCAGGGCTTCTGCCAGGTGGCCTGGATGGAGGCAAGGAGCAGAAGCCCGGCCTTCCTTGAACCTCCTTGCACACCCCGGGGGGGGGGGGTCCCCCGCGCCGCCCCCCCCCCCCCCCCCCCCCCCCGCTGCCCCCGGGGACTTGCACCTGGAGGGGAGGAGAACCGAGAGCCTTCGGTGGAGCGGATTCTTGGAATGCCCCAGAGGAGGGAAGGGAGGGCGCCTGCGCCTGGGTGAGTGCGTGGCTGGCTGAAAGAGAAAGGCAGGGGTACAACTCCACCCCCCCTTGGGAAAGGGGTCGGCTGCGTCCCCTTCCGTTGCACTCCTGGGTTGCTCCTCCTGAGCTTCGGTTTAGCCTGGAATCCAGGGCAGCCCCGTGACTTCCCTCTCTCGTGCAGGAGGCCATGCTTTGCGGGTTGGTGCTCTGGACAGCTCTGCCTCCCACTTCTCAACCAGCACGGGACCCCAGGTGCCCCCAAGCTCTCCTGCGCCTGCGCCCCAAACTGAGAAGGCTAACCTGGCTGCTTACGTCCCCCTCCTGACTCAAGGCTGGGCAGAAATATCAGTGCGGAGGCCAACAGGTAGGTGCGCTATGGCGCTAACTAGCACCGGGAGTCCCAAAGGGGCTTTATTTTTTCCAAGAGGCAGCTGGACTTTCTGGTTTTTCTTTGAAGACATTTCACTTCTCATCCAAGAAGCTTCTTTAGCTCTGACTGGATGCGGGGGAAGGGAAGGATTTATGCATTCAAAAGGATGCAAACGACCAGCTGTCTGCAAGGAATATAAATCCATTCCTCACCATCCAATCAGAGCTGAAGAAGCTTCTTGGATGAGAAGGGAAACCTCTTCAAAGAAAAACAAGAAAGTCCAGCTGCCTCCTGAAAAAGCCCCTTTGGGACAACTGTGACCCGGAGGACTGAGAATCTCCATAGATGTTTAGCACCAGGAGTGTGTCTTCATAGGCCTGTCAAGGGAATGGGGGCAGCTGGGAGATGAGAGGAGCCTGCTCTCCGTCGCTGATGCTCGTGTTCCAGAGGGTTGGTGGTGGAGAACAGAAGGCGATCCTGCTGGCGCTTTCAAAGGGATCCAGTCTGGAGCTGGGCTGGGAGAGGAGTCCGGGTTCCTAGAAGGGCAACCTTCAGGCAGACTTGATCAGGCTGGAGAATTCAGATTCTTTGGGGAGGTGGATTTCAGCAGGTTGGGATGCCCAGATATTCCTGGGACGGAGGGCTCAGAATGGTTCAGTCGCACCAAAAGAAGCTTATGGGGGAAACCTTGGAAGGGAGTTTTGTCCTTCTCTTCCCAGACGAGGCTGCCCTGCTTGATGGGGCCCTCCCTGGCCACGTTCTTCTCTCTCCTCAGGTAACACCAGCTGGCTGATGAGCCTGGAAAACCCGCTGAGCCCCTTCTCTTCCGACATCAACAACATGCCCCTGCAGGAGCTCTCCAACGCCCTGATGGCAGCCGAGCGCTTCAAGGAGCACCGCGAAACTGCCCTGTACAAGTCCCTCTCGGTCCCCTCCTCCAGCCTGTCCACGGGAACAGCCAAGCCGTCTCTCCTGCAGCGCTCCAACACAGGTGAGGCCCAGCTCGGGAGGCCCCACGGGAAGCACCACCTGTCCCAAGGGGCTTCACTGCGGAGTTGTTGCTTTGCACGGAAAACGTTGGCCCAGCCTCAGCCTCCAGGCTAGTCTGAGAGCCATAAATAGCCACGTTGAAAGCCTCTTTTACAAAGCCATCAAAAACACCTCCTGAATAAGTTGAAGCCTTTAAGGTAGAAATGCAGGATGAAAAGGTCAATTCAGTAGATCTGGATTCCTGGGTTTGGGTTTGTTTGATGGGCCATAAACCCATCAAGGCTCCCTTTAGGGGCTGGCTGGAAGAGCTGCCTGCAGGAGACCTTTCTTGCTGCTCTCCCAACACGGAACTAAAATCCGCATTTCTTTCCCTCTAGCCAGGCAGAGGAGGAGGAGGAGGAGGAGGGTGGTGGTTCTCCTTGGCTTGGGTCTCTGGTGCAGCCCATCTACAGTGCAGGTCCTTGGAGAGTCGTACAGGCAGTTCATACTTAATGGCCACAGTTGGGCCCGGAATCTCAGCCATTGAGCAAAACAGTTGTTAAGCAAGAAGTGCTTTGCTCAGCAGCTGCAGTTCTGGCGCTCACCTTGCAATCATTAAGTGATGTGTGGATTAAATGGACTGAATCCCTGGCAAAGAGCACACGAGCCCCTGGAAGGGGGGCTCTGCTCAGGCACTGGAAATCCTCCCTGCTGAAATCCAAGCAAGATTTTCAGCCCCCCCCCCCCCCCCCCCCCC